CAAAGAGAAAATCTTTAATAACAGGATGGGTAACTGCAAAAGGACAGTAATGATAGTGAGGAACCAATTAAAAACAATTCTGGCTTTTATCTATTCTCCCAAAAGTTTTTAAATTCTCTGAAACTGCCATTACTTTTAATTTCCATAATTTATATCCCCACTGTCTCATTACCATTTTTTTTTATCTATCTTAACCAAAAATGACAGGAAAAGGAATGATGGGGGGCAGACAAAAAGGCTAAAAGGAGGCAATGTGGATAATGTTTTACCTCTGGCAAGGACTTACTTTTTCTTTCCTTAAAATAGTTTCATAATTTTAAATGTCTATTTCCCAATTTAAGTTATGCATATACAGAAAATGGAACATCATGTAGTCTAACTTTAGAAATTCTTTTCTAAAAAAGATGCATTTATTTATGCACATAAGAACTGGGGTATAGGCCAGAGGTGCAGGGGCAGAGAGAGTGAGGAACAGAACAGGTGGATCTACTGAAATACACTGCTGAGGGGAGCAGAGGTAAGACATGAGAGGTCTGCTGCACCATGTGGGTCAGCTCCCTGGCTGGAGATCAACCCTGTGCTGCAGTGGCTACAGATAGCTTGATAATGCTATGCTTACCCCTGGTGCCACCAGGGAGGTCCCTAATTTTAGTAATTCTTATATTTTAATTGTTTATATTTTCTCCAAAGACAGATGTTAAACTTTACTTAGACTGGACCATTTATAAAAAGCTTTTAAAAAATATAATCCACATGCCATTTTAAACACATAATTTAATGGTATAGTCACAGAATTATGAAGTTGTTACCACAAAAAAAATTTGGACTTTTTCACCAGCTCAACAGGTAATTCTTTATACTGTCACCTCCTTAAACCTCCATCTCTTTTAACCCCAGCCCTAAGCAAAGTGGCTACTTTCTTTGTGTATTTCTCAATTCTGGACTTTTAGATGAATTGTGATTGTGGCTTTGTGTGAGTAACTTCTTTCACTTAACATGTTTTTAACATTTATACAAGTTTAGTGTGTATCAGTATTTCATTCTTTTTCGTGGCAGAATGCTCTTAATGGTGTGGATATACCATATTTTGTTCATTCATTGGTTGATGGATATTTAGATTGTTTCAGCTCTTAGCTATTAAGAATAATATTGCTTTGAACATTGTGTATAAATTTTGGTGTGGACATGTTTTCATTTCACTTGGATATATGTCTAGGAGTGGGATTTTCCCATGGTTATATCTTTAAAGAAAACAAATTAACAGTACAGACTCAAAGAAGTAGTATTAAGAAAAAAGAACAGATGTTAAGTAAGTAGAAACAAATAGCTGTTATAAAAATAATTTTTTTCAATAGGATATGTGATATAATAAATTCAAAAGGTCAATAGTACCTATATCCAAGTTATTTTCAATTTTTGCTACTTTGTAGAGCTCACACTATCAACATCTTTCTACTCAGAAAGATTTAGAGAATGAACGTGAACAGTAGTGGGTAGCTGTGTTTATAGAAATATACAGACTAACAAGTAGACAGACATGAGTTTAAGGGGCCACTTGAGACTAGCTATGGAATTTAAAGCTCAGTGTGGAATCACAATTATGGTGGCATTTTGGACTAATGCCATGTTGAAAATGAGTCAGTAGAGGCTCAAGATCCTTGTCTTATTCCAGTGAAAACTATTTAATGAATTGGCATCAGCCGTCTTGGTATCTATAAACACCAAAAGCGGTACTCTTCTTTATCCCGTAATTTGGCTGGCAGGCTTCAGAAGCACTTACTGTGATGCATTTAAACATGTTCACACATCTGTCTTATAAACTGTGACCTCTTATAGAACATGAATATACCCTACTCATCTTGGTGCCTCACAGGATTTACAGTAAACACTGGGCAAGAGTTGCATGAATGTGTCACTACCTCTGCTGTCTAAAGAGCATCTTCAAATAAGGTAGAACACACATTTACATTGTAATCCTACTGATTAAAGTTACAAGTATCAGGTTAACTATTCACAAATATTCCATTTTCTTGATTCAATGTCAAAATGAAAAAAATTTTTTAAATTTTATTTATTAAAGATTAATTTATTTATTCATATAGACCTGGGATACAGAGGTACAGAGACGGTGAGAGGCTTCACCAGAGACAGAGTTGGGGGCAGAACAGGCAGATTGACAAAGTACATGGCTGAGGGGAGCAGTGGGCAAGACAGGAAAGGTCTACTGCTCCATTGGGCTCACCTCCAGGAACAGGGATGTGGCTATCTTGCAGTGCTGCTTCCTAACCCACTCCACCACCAGGGAGGGCCCGAAAAAATATTTTAAAGTTATACACATAATTGAAAAGTCTGGTAGCACATGTCAAAGACATTGTTGGTCATCTTCCCCAAAACTACTCATCAAGCCCACTGTACCTTTTGTGTCCTTCTCTGAACCCAAGTGCTTCAGGGGAGCACATTATCACCAGTCTATAGGTAGTGAATTACGATTGAGCCTGTCAGTGGTGACTGCATTTCTTTTGCCAGTGACTATTTTAGGTATGGGTACATAATGAATTTCCAGCCAATAACAATCTGAGAAAGTGTGTGTGGTCATTAATAAGAGAATCACTTGCAAAGAAACCGTCCTTTTTTCACTGGATGTCATCAAGTATGGATGTCATCATTATCTGACTGCAGTCATCCTGAGCACTTGAGGCTGACAAGCTAAAGATCGGCAGGGCAGAAGAGGTAATTGCCTCCTTGCTAACAACCAACCCTGAAAAAGTTCTGCTTCTGAACCTGTGTGAGGTGGCATGTTCCTTATTTATTACATTGAACTATGTATCATTTGTGGCTAGGAGCATCCTGATAGTCTACCACAAAGTATACATGTAACAACTTAAGATAACAGTAGTCAGCTATTCTTCCCTTTTCTCCAGAGGAAACCACTTTCTCTTTTAACTATTGTGGCAGGTGATTTACTTACATGCTTCTAAATAATATGCTTATACTGCTATTTTCTTGATTTATCAACAGAATGCTGACTTTCTCCAACGGAAAATCAAAACTAAGCATAGGCACACCCCTTCCTCTTTCTTTCTTCCAATATAGTTTACAACATTTGACTAAATCTAAATTTGCTTACATTATTATATGTTATTCATTGCTTGGTCAGGTAATGAATTGACTGTGTTTATTTTTTCATACCAATTTTTTAACCCTCTGGAGTTAAAAGTGTTTATTGACATAACATTCATTAGCTTTACATTTCATTTTCTCAACTATTAAGATTGCTATCCTGACTTTTTTTTTTTAAAGATTTATTTATTTATTTGTACAGAACTGGGGTACAGGTCAGAGATGCAGAGGGTGAGAGGATTCAACAGAGAGAGAGTGGGGAGCACAACAGGCAGATCAACGAAGTGCACTGCTAAGGGGAGCAGCGGGCAGGTCAGGAGAGGTCTGCCACGCCATGTGGTCACCTCCGGGGCAGGCGGGAATCGAACTCATGTGGAAGTGGTTTAAGTTTCTTTGTGCTGTGCTTTAACCCGCTGCGCCACCAGGGAGGGCCGCTACCCTGACTTTTTGATAAATATTTCTCTGGTATATTTGGTAATAGCTTTATTCAGATATAAAATACTATGCAATTTATCTACTTAAAGTATGCAATTTGTTTTTAATATAGTAAGTTTTGCAACCATAGTAACAGTTTTAAAATACTTCACCCTAAAACACCCTAAAAAAAAATTCCATACTCTTCAGCTATCATCCACAACCCTCCCAATTTCCCCACACATTCCAGCCCTAGCAACCATTAATAAATGTGCTTTGAAATCACAGAATACATGGTGGCCTATTTTTTCCTGAAAATTCAACCAGATAGTAGCATGTATTAGTAATTCATTCCTTTTATAGCTAAATAATATTCCACTGTTTGGGTGCATCATATGTGAACTGTTTTCACCTTTTGGCTATTACGAATATTGCTCTTATGAGCATTCATGTAGTTTTTTGGTATAAACATGTTTTAATTCTCTTCAGCATATACCTAGAAGTTAAATTGTTGCTTAAATTGCAACTATTTAATCATGGGAGGATTGTCGAGACTACAGTTATACTATTTTTTTTTAATCTTCTCTTACTTTTTCTTTCATTCAATTCTACTTCTAGAGACATTGCCTTACCAGCATCTTGCAACTCTTATTAAGTACTTTGAATTTTAAGTATTTTTTGAATTTGTATTTTTTGATAACTCCTATTCCTGTTGTTTTATAAATACATTGTTCCCAAAAGACTATTAACCAGCTTTTCCCACTTACCGCACAGCACTGTCTCATATTCAAAATAATGAAAGTCTTACCTAATGCAGTAATGGTGGAATAAAGGCAAAATACCAGCTGACATATTAGGAGTTGGAATGGTAGAGGGCATTTGGACTGATTAGGCAGGAGAAAAGGAAAGTCTAGGTTTATATCCTCAGGTTTATAGTCTAAACAACGGCAAGGATAGTGAATTTTTCCAAATAAGAAAGATGTATTTTGAATATGTTCAATATTAACTAACCACAGTATTCAATATCATTTGAGTTAAATTAAATAAAAAATAATAAAGTTTCTTAATAGTTCTAATTCAAAAGGTAGTATTTTAAAGTATTTCCATCTACAAAGATACTTTTTTTAATTAAACATATGAAAGGATATTTAAAAAAATGAAACCTTTTGAGAAGTCAGCTTTTTAATTAAGTCTTTAGAGAAACATTTGAAAGAATGAAAAAAATAATACTAAACAGAAATTCAAGCTTAAAAATTACAGATTAAAGAAAACCATGGAAGAAAAGGTTATCACAAGATATTACTTAAAGAATATTTTAAAATAAGATAGTGATTCTTTTATTACATTTTTTATTCACTGAATCTAAAAATAAATTTTACAATTTTCTGTTTTAATATCAGCAAACAATAATAAAGTATAGATGCAAATATTTACTAAATATACTTTTTTTGACTATATTCAACTTACTATTTCTTTAAAAAATATAATTCTACTTAAACCCATTAGAATATTTACATTTAAGTACTTCAACACAATCTATGTGTATTAAGTAAAGTAAGAGCTCCTCAAATGAGGAAAAGTCTGATTTGGTTCTGTAAATAAAGATGATTTAAAATATAAAAATTGAACTTAAAAAAGCCCAAATCACCTGTTTTTTAAAGTCATACCAACCATCTACTTCTAAATTCTTATCAAAGCTAATTTCTTTAAATTCAACATTTACTAACTGAACAGATGGGTTTTTTAAAATGAGGAATGTAATTTTACTTTCAACTTACTGCTGATATATTCAACTAGAGCTTAAAAAAAATAATTTTAGAATATACAAAGACCTGAATTAAACCATTCTCAACATTTTTCTGAGACTATTTTCTAATTGACTTACTTTTTCTACATGAGCTTTAAAGATGTCTACCACAGGAAGGGTACAAAAGTAATTACCTACAACTATAAAACCTACCAACTAAACTCCAATTGTAACATTACTGTTTTTTTTTCCTCTTATAAGAATCATTACTGTGAACTCGAACTCGGTGGTACACAGACGATGCTATTTTCATGCTGTCTTTCTTTGTAGATGTCTTCTCTTTTGCTTCAGGTTTCCAAAGTAACAACTGGGCATCTTCCCCTCCGGTTAGCAAAGAATCATCCTGCATATTCCAACAGAAAGAACGGACTGTAGCAGCATGGCCACGCTGAAGGCAGGTGACATGGTTCAATCCTGATGGAGAACAGCTCAGTAAGTGAATCCTTCCTGTGTTTGTCCCTCCAACAACAAACAGTTGGTTCATCTTTTCATGAAATAAGCCACCAATCAAATAATCCAAAGTATCTTCTTTCATATCAATTACTTCTCGAACATTGTGGATGTTCAAACATGTAACAGGTTCATCATTATCCAGATGATTAAGATCCCACCAACAAAATCCTTCATCATGTGTCATGCAGTAAATCTGTTTATAATCTTTCCCAGACCAACCAATATAGCTTACTGATGAAACAGAGTTACAGGTTGTAATTAGCGCATCTTCTTCACTGTCAGCACTAATATCAAATACATTTACCAGGCCATCAGTGGAACCTGAGACTACCATATTAGGGTTGTTGGGATGGAAGCACACTTGCGTGATATCATCACTATGTGTCTCTGAATATGCACCAAGTGGGTCTCTAGTAGTAGACAAATTCTGAGAATTAATTCTTGCATCCCAAAATACCAACAATGCATCATCATCAACTTTTTCTGTACCAGCACAAATGACATGATCATTACAGTTGATATCAAAACTGATAAAAATATTGGAAGGGTAGCCCTTGAACAGCTGGACAGGTTTTTCATTGGCTAATCGAGCATCCCAACATTTTACAGTGCCATCGGTACAGGATGAATATACTTTGTCACAAGAATTTGCAAATTTGACCCCATTAAGAAGTCCAGGACGGCCACTAAATTCTCGTAGTACATTTAACCTTTCTTTGTCATATAATCGGATTGATCCATTAGAACATAAAACAGCAACCAATATTCCCTTTTCTGCTTTTACAGTCTTTGATGTGTCTATGCCAAGCAGGTAAGTGGGGTCTTTAGTTTCTGTGGAACGCTTAACAATGTTCAGATTAGCAAATTGTTCCTCAATCTTCTCCATATCAGGAGTAATATCCACGGGTAGTAAAAATCTGAAATAAAAATACAAAAACTAAAATTAAAAGAAAAAAAAAGATGTTAATTCCTTAATCCTTAGACCCTGTGATATAAAGGGAATTGCAGTTGTAGGTAGAATTAAGATTGCTAAACAGCTGACCTTAGAATAGGGTGATTATTCTGGGTTATGTAGGTGGGCCCAAAATAATCGCCAGTGTTTAAAAATGGAAGAGGTAGGCAGAACACAGATTTCATTACTATGGGAGAAAGGCATGGAGAAATACATTGATGGCTTGGGTGAAGGAGGTCATTAGGTGAACAGCAGGTGGAAAGTCAAGGAAACATACTTCTTTAGAACCTCCAGATGAAAATGAATCCTAGTAACATCTTGATTTTAGCTCATTATGACCCATTTGGGAGTTCCTATCTTCAGGAACATAAAATGAGAAATGTGGCGTTTCAAGCTTTTACAGATTCTTCATGAAAACAGAGGAGCACTGAAGTGGTATCATTTTCCCTGTGATTGCCTTAAACATAAGTAGAACAAAAGAGGTGAAGAGGAGACACAGAAAAGAGATATGTAGAGACACCTGAATAGATATTTGGAAAGAGATACTTAAAAGAGAAATATGGAGGGTTTGGTTCTTGGCAGAGATAACAGCAGCCATAATCTGGACCTCATGTTGGATTATGCGATATATTTTCAATTTTGAATCTCTCTTGCCCCATCTCTGGGATCTGCCTAACCCCTTTTTTGTGGGCATTTGCCAGAAGGTACCTAATACTTGTGACAAGATTTTGGGCCTTAGTAGCCCAGCTTTGACCTAAAACTGTTTAGCTGGGCATTTGCCCATGAGGGGATGAGTAATTTTTGCAGTATTTTACTCAGAAATTATTATTTGAAATCTTTTCTCCCTCCCCTCTTTCTTGTCTCTCCCCCTGCCTCCAAGCCAATTCTATCTGAGGGTCCCTTTATTCTGCCTTTGTGAATGAGATTCTTTTTTTTTTTTTTTTAAGATTTATTTCTTTGTGCATACAGAACTGGGGTACAGGCCAGAGGCTCAGGGGGCGGCAAGAGGCTTCACAAGAGACAGTGGGGAGCAGAAGAGGCAGATCAACGAAGTACACTGCTGAGGGGAGCAGCGGGTAGGTCAGGAGAGGTCTGCCACACCATGTGGTCACCTCCGGGACAGGCGGGAATCGAACTCATGCAGAAGCGGCTTTAGATTCTCAGTGCTGTGCTTTAACCCTTAACCCGCTGCGCCACCAGGGAGGGCCCAATGAATGAGATTCTTTTTAGAGAGTGTACCCTTCAACAATTTGGAGTCCCTGAATACCTTTTGGTTGCACAGTAACAAAGGCACAAAGTCTGTTACAGCAGCAATAATAAGCTTAAAAAACAAAGGCTTCCACTACATGCAAAAAAATGAAACTAGATCACTACCTCACTCCAGTCACAAAAATCAACTAAAAGTGGATTAAAGACCTAGACATAAGAACGGAAACCATAAAATACCTGGAAGCAAAGATGGGTCAAACACTACATGACATAAACTTCAGGATAAAGGATAAATAGATGGGACTACATCAAGTTAAAGAGCTTCTGTACAGCAAAAGAGACATTACAAAAAACAGACAGCCCACTAATTGGGAAAACATTTTCTCACACAAAAGTAGCGATAAAGGACTGATCACAAAAATATACTGAGAACTGACGAAACAACAAAAAATAAAGTAGACAACCCCATCAAAAAATGGGCAGAAGAGCTAAAAAGACACTTCTCCAAAGGAAATGCAGATGGCCAACAAGCATATGAAAAAATGTTCAACATCACTCGTAATAAGGGAGATGCAAATTAAAACCACAATGAGATACCACCTCACCCCAGTGAGAATGGCACATCTTCAAACAACTAGCAACAACAAATGTTGGCAAGGATGTGGAGAAAAAGGAACTCTCCTGCACTACTGGTGGGAATGCAAACTAGTACGACCACTATGGAAAACTGTTTGGAGGTTCCTCAAACTGCTATACATGGAGCTTCCCTACGACCCAGCAATCCCACTCCTAGTTATCTACCCAAAAGACACAAAAACACTGATTGAAAAAGATACCTGCACCCCCATGTTTATTGCTGCTTTATTTACAATTGGAAAAACATGGAAGCAGCCCAAATGTCCAAAAATGGATGACTGGATTAAAAAGATGTGGTACATATATACAATGGAATATTACTTAGCAACCAAAAAAGAGAAACACGGCAGCTTTCGCAGCAACTTGGATGGAGCTGGAAAAGATCATGCTTAGTGAGATAAGCCAGAAAGAGAAAGAAAAATACCGGATGGTTTCACTCATAGCAGGAGTATAATGGACCAGGCGAGAAAATAACAAAAATAATGAACAACCATATACCAGAGACATTTTGTGGGGGTGGAGTGGGGAATGGGATCAAAAACGGGGGGGTGGGGAGGGAGGTGCACGGGATGATGGTGATGGCACATGGGTGACTTGGTGATGGGAAACCCGCAGGGATTACAATTGAGATGTAAAAAAAAAAATGTACAAAATGATGTAAAAATAAAGCCTTTGTTATAAAAAAAAAAAACAAAGGCTTCCAGTATAGCATCCTAGAGAAGTACTTCTTAGTTTGAACCTAAGTATTCTGGCTTCAGGGATTATACTTTTAAACCACTATACTAAATATCTTCTCCATCCTAGGTTGTATGGAGTACAACATCAAAGTCTACTAACTTTATCACAAATTCTTCTATCATGCATAATCTCACCTGCTTCACAAATTCATTTTTATTATTAAGGTGAATTTTTTTCCCTCTTGCTTTAGCAGTAACTTTTTAAAGTATCTGTCTTGTCTTTAAAAGGAGAAAAATACTAACTCAAGAATTGTTAGAAGGATTAACAGAAATAAATTCAGCACAATGTTATGTAGAAATTACCAGCATTGGTGGGAATGCAAACTAATACAATCACTATGGAAAACTGGAGGTTTCTCAAACTGCTAAACATGGAGCTTCCCATTTGACCTAGTAATCCCACATCTAGGTATTTACCCAAAAGCCACAAAAACACTGATTCAAAAGGATATCTGCACCCCCATGCTTATTGATGCTTTATTTACAATTGGAAAGACAACTGGAAACAGCCCAAATGCCCAAAAGTGGATGACTGGATTAAAATGATGTGGTACATATACACAATGGAATATTACTCCACAACCAAAAAAACAAAAAACAAAAACACATGCCTTTTGTAGCAACATGGATGGAGCTGGAAAAGATGCTTAGTGAAATAAGCCAGAAAGAAAATGAAAAATACCGGATGGTTTCACTCATAATAGGAGTATAATGGACCAGGCAAGAAAATAATATAATGAACAGCTATATAAAATGAACAGTTTATAGGGGTGGAGTGGGGAATGGGATCAGAAATGGGGGAGAGGGGTAAGGAAGTGCATGGTGATGGCACATGGGCAATTTGGTGATGGGAAGCCCAAGGGGATTACAACTGAGATGGAAAAAATGCTCAAAATGATGTAAAAATAAACCACTGTGTTATTAAAAAGGAAGAAATTACCAGCATTAACACCACCAAAGCTAGTAAGACTATTATGAAGAATTGGATCTATCAGAATATCTCCAAATAGCACAATTAAAGCAATATGTGTTAAAAAAAAATTTAAAGTTGGTTTGAGTTCCAAATGCTTGTAGGAATAAGTATTCTCTCTAACCTTTAATTATATAAAAATAGAAAAAAAGATAAAAGAAGACAATGAACACATATAGTCTTTCACCTTCTAAGTTCACTAATTGTCAACTTACTTGCTTTCCACAATAACTTGCTTTCCACATTACTTTTTGATAAAAGAATTTGAAAGTTAATCAGACAAAATTTTACTTAACCTCTAAATACTTCAGCATAGAGCACCCCCCCACCTTGTTTTCATAACACTGAATTTTTTTTTCAAAGATTTATTTATTTGTGCATACAGAACAGGGTACAGGCCAGAGGCTCAGGGGGCGGCAAGAGGCTTCACAAGAGACAGTGGGGAGCAGAAGAGGCAGATCAACGAAGTACACTGCTGAGGGGAGCAGTGGGCGGGTCAGGAGAGGTCTGCCACGCCATGTGGTCACCTCCCGGGCAGGCGGGGATCGAACTCATGCGGAAGTGGCATTAGCTTCTCAGTGCTGTGCTTTAACCCGCTGCGCCATCAGGGAGGGCCAACACTGATTTTTTTTGACAAGTTCGGCTGCCTCATAAAATGCCCCATATTCTGAATTTGTTTTTCCCCCATGATCAGATTCCAGTTTAACATTTTGCCAGGGATGTTAATGATGCTGGGTATTTCTTACTGTGTCACATCAAGTACACACGTGTCAAATTTGATCACTTAGCCCTCCCTGGTGGTGCAGCAGGTTAAAACAGCACTGAGAAGCTAAAGCCACTTCAGCATAAGTTTAATCCCCACCTAGGAGATGATCCACATGGCTCCACAAACCTCTCCCGACCGGCCTGCTGCTCCCCTTTCAGCAGGGTACTTTGTCAGTTAGCCTGTTGTGCTCCCTCTTGCTCTGGTGAATCCTCTCACCGCCCCTGCACCTCTGGCCTGTACCCCAGTTCGGTATACATAAATAAATCTTTTTAAAAAAAATGGTCACTTACTTAAGGCAGTAGCTGCCAGATCTCTGCATTTTAAAGATCCATTCCTATCTTTGGAGTTAGTAAGCAGTTAGTAAGGGAGTGATACAATGAGCCTGTATGAATAGCCTATCCTACCACAACCTTTATCCAAAGAACCTAGCACCCATGATTGTCCTGGTCTGAATCAATGATTACAATGGGACTTGTAAAACAGTCCTTTTCAAATGTTATCATTCCTTTTACCTTATGCGAATTCTTCTATGATAAGAGGATCCACCAGAGCCAGAGTGGGAAGCAGAATAGGCATAGTGACTGAAATACACTGTGGAGGGGAGCAGGTGGTAAGACAGGAGAGGTCTGCTGCACCATGTGGTTCAA